GTTCGAAAACTCACGTGAGTAGATAAATGGTACTCTCACTCCGGTGGGAGGAAAAATGCTGGCGGAGCCTTACAAAAGGAGTCCGGAGCAGTTGCCGGTAAGTGCGAAACCACGCTCGCCCGAAAATGGTGCGAAGCAACAGAAACCCCGCCTCCTACGCTTGCCAGCTGGGCTCTGCTCTAGGAAGGAGGCACTGGCAAACCACTTCCAAAACACCTTGCCTTGAAAACTGCAAGGACTCATCCAAGCAGTCACTGCAGAGTCGGTAACGACTGAGTGCAGATTATTAATATATATATGTATTATTTTTATTTGATTATTGTACGCCGCCCAGAGTCACTTCTCATGAGATGGGCAGCTATATACATTTGATTAATAAATAAATAAATACACACAGGAGATGGAAACGTGGAACAACATAATCAAGTCAGCTCACAGTAAATGGAAGTCCACTCAGTGTAAATAGCAGACACAGAGGGGCTCAGTTCTGATTAGAATGTGGACTTTTCTAATCCTATGCCATGATCCTGACTCTATTCAGTTTCCTTTTTCTGTTCCTTTGACTACAGAACACTGAAATGTGTGTTCTTTAGCAAGGTTTCAAGATTTGCTTTATTCTCACCATAAGATGGCAGCACAGCCATTGCCATATGTTTAATGTTTTGATGTCATACAAAGCAGTGAAACTAATAAGAAATAAGGTTATTATTACTAATATTGTTCAACAAGTGAGTACCACATGATTCTTAAAATCCCTAAAGCATTTCCAATAATAAGAGTGCACAGAATAAGAAGGCATTCTATATAAATCAACGCTTCAGACAGATTTTGTGATTTTTGGTAACTATTAACTCTATTCTGTAAAATTAAAAACTTGCTCTTTCTCTAGGGATACCGGATAGGACAGAAGTCCTAAATCTTTGATTGAAGACATTTTTTTTTCTCCATGACTTCTGAAACACATTGCCAGGCTTCCCCTACCTGATTCTCTGCATGTGTAACTGGGCTGCAGTGCTTATGACTGCCATGCTACTTGGTAGTGATGATAACTGAAGTCCAAGAATGTTTTCGAAGAAAACTGGCACAGAACTATAAAAATCCAATAACCACCTCAATATACTACGGTGGTATATCTTATTACTGGTATCACAGCAGCAACATTATGTGCAGAATTAGACACTTAAATAACCTTGGTCCCTAAAACATCAGAATGCCCAAACTGAATATACTGTGAGCACTTTTTAGTCACATTGGTTTAACTCTGAATGGTTTGAGTGAATTACTTCTGTTACAAATTCTGTTTTACTTATTGTAATGATAGCAAATCATAAATATGAATAACTGTGAGATAAATAATGACAATCCATATTTTTAAAACAATATTGGCCTTCTTTAGGACTCTAAATATATTGTGATTTCATCAGTTAAATATTATGCAGGTCACACAAGAAAATATATGTATAGCCATAATATTTTAGTTTATATTTACCTGCCTCTGTAGATAATCTAGTTCTTGTGCTTCTTTTCTCAAAAATCATGGCTAAAGATTTTCCTTGTAATAAAGGTAAGTACTGAAATACAGGAATGAAAAGGATGTAGGTATGATATACTGATATGTACAATAACCATTTTGAATCAAATTGGCTTATTGTAATTCAGGTAACTTTTGCTGTTGAATCGCTTCCAGAGGAAGGATGGGACTCTTTCATAAATTACACAAATTATTCCGTTTCAGCAGGAAAAGATTTTTAGGTCCTGCTTGAAGAATGCTGGGAGTTGTAGTTCCAAACTAGCTGAAGGACCAGAGATTACCTCTCTCTTATTAAAGGCATAACATAATGCAAGACAGAAACAAAATGTTACGCATGTTTTACTTTTCAAATAAAATTACAGCAAGTGGTACTTATTCCCAAGATCTTCAGCCTAAATATATTAGTCTTAACATATTAAGTATCAGTTAAGATAAGCATGTCATTTTGACAGGCAAGCTAAAATATTTTTAAAACTTCACTAATTTCTGAATACTAATGAATACATCTATAGTTACAGTATCACACAAGAATCTATATGGGAGGGAAAAGCATAAAAAATGAAAGCAGAAATATTCATATTACCTCTTTTTTGTGTTTGATTCTTTTTTTCAAATCTGATGCTACCCAAAGCAAATATTTGATTTCTTCAGGTGTATAGTTTTGCAGGGTTAAGAGGTCCTGGCCTTTTAACTGAATGGAAGTTTCAACAGGTTGCCCATGCTTAGAACTATTAGAAGCAGGGGGCGGGGGGAGAGAAGAAAACAATATTTATAGTTAAGAACTTGGTTTTCAGAAATAATTAGTACTGAGTAGTCATTTATGTTCCCTCTGGATTGTTCATTTCTTTATACTCCCAAACAGGGGTATATAAATGTGCATGATCATATTCATTCTTCATTTCCTTCTGCTAGTGCTCCAGGCATCTCTTTACCTGCTTAATTTCCTGAAGCTCCTCGATAAACCAATGAGACTGCTGGGATCTATGGGTGACAAAAGGCCACTCAGATATAATCTAGATGTAGCACCCTCACCACCTCTGAGTTCCAGAGGTTGGCAAGGTGCACAGAGGAACTTCCCACAAAATCACTGGGGAACTCCTCAAACATCCTCAGAAAACCCAGGGGATCCAACAGGCACCAAGAGCATATATTCTTAACCAGTCTATCACCTCTGTGGAGATTCAGTGTGTCAACAACATGAATGCAAACTAGAAAGTGGTTTGACCATGGCAAAACACTGATGACAATGTCATATCAGATCACATCATGACTTCTCTGAGAAAAAGGCCAGATCCAGTATGTACTGGGCCCAAGATCTCTTGGAATGGTCTGATGGAGGCTATGAATTCCTGAGCCCAGACATACTCTTCCCACAGGGCATGGTAGCTAAAGCTTTCTAGCATCACGTGCCCAGGGACCTTCATCACTGGCCCCACAATGAAATCCTGGAACTCAGGGAGGGCTGATGCTGAGCAGTGGAGCAGTCAGTACACAAACAACAGCCCCATCCTGCCCCAAGACTCAACAAAATGATGGGAATTGTAGATCAACATTACATAGTGAAGGTCACTAGATAAAGAAAGGCTCTTCTGGATTCTGACTGAATGGAGTGGAGAATGGCAGGACAGAAAAGGAAGAAGTAGAGAAAATGTTGAAGAGGCATTTTGAATTTTTCAATCAAAGCAAGACAGATCATAGATTAGATTCTTAGGTTAGGACTAGACCTAAAAATAAATCGCTTTTGAAACTTTCTGTTCAAAATAAAGAGGATATCAATAAATAGATAAAACATATTCAGAAGTTCCTATCATAACTATGCATCATCAAGAGCCCCGACCTTTGTTCTCTATTTTCCTATAAGTACCTGCAAATAGTTATTTCAAATTTGCTTTCCACAGAATTCACATATGGCTCAGGTACTACTCCATAAAATATATGGCAATGACAGTTTTGCAAAACCCCAGTGAAGAAAGGAAAGAATGGAGGAATGGGGCAGCAGCTGGCTGCCATTTTTTGCACTGTCATATTGGACAACTGGAAGGAACAACATATGGCAATGTGTGCACCAACAATGGGCACACTTAGTTATAGTGGTATGACTCTGCAAAAGAATTAAGGCTGGTAGCTGCTGGTAATATTCATAACCTTCAGCAATCTGACACAGCCCTCAATAGCCTACTAGCCATGCTGGCCAAGTGAAAATAGTTCTAATGCATGACTAGGATAAAGTAGTTAAGTAATAAACTAAGAAAAAACAAAAGCACAGCAGACAAGTGTTTAGCAATAAAATACTTACTAGATGAGCTCTCTTTTAATAGCAGATGGCATCATAGGTGTCTATAGCCACATTTTCTTACTTTTCCCATGTAAGTAAATAACCTGTTATGATTTACATGAGGCAACTGGCAAGGTTGCTAGTGAAGACAAAACAGTATTGCAGCCTTTGCCAATTTGGGCACTTCAACTCTCAGAATTTTATGCGATGGCCTTCTTGGTCAAAGAATTACAGGAGGTGAAGTCGATATATTTAGAGAGCACTCAAGCTGGGGAAGGCTGCAACAGTATCTCTTTATTTTCCTCTTCCATATTCACAAGAGATCAAAAGAGATTGAAAACTAATGAATAACTAACTATACTTGGTGACACAATTTTTAACAATACAATTCAATTCTTTTTGTCATATTAGCACCATTCCAAGATTTTGTTAATATAACATTTGCTGCCACCAACAAGTTTCCTTCCACATTATATTGAGACAATTGGAAATACTCCATGACATTTAAAAGAATGAATTGCTCTTAATTTTTCTAAGATTCGTCCCCCTTCCCCACGCTTTTAAAAGTTCTTTACATAATTCCTCAGCTATATCAGATAGGAAAAGAGTCAAAGCCATTTGTAAATAATAGGAAATGTCACTGATCTGAAATACACATGCAGAATTATTTCCACTACGTACAAGTATCAGATACTCTAGAAACAAAGACAGTAATATCACCAGCATACCTATTTTTCAATAAAATTGGTTTGTCTTATGTTTTATGGTTTGGTATATAAATTGACACCACTGAAAAATGAAGATATAGTTTATCAATCTCAGAAATTTTATAGCAGATATTAAAAAGCAGATTATATGGCTCAAGTCTCATCTATGAGATATTTAAACACTTACCGAATACATTGTACCAGACGCGTGTTGATTTTGTGTATATTTGCTGCATTGAGTAAGGATCTGAAATTAAACATATTTATTAAATGATAATTTTTAGTTGTAGAGGAATTTGGTCTAACCACAGCCAGATGAAACAGGGAATGCTTTGGCTTTCAGTGAAAGAGCAAAGCTAAACAATCATGAGATTACATTATCTTTAGCATTTGTTAGCCCTTCAAGCATGGTATGTAACTTGACACAAATTCCATAGATAGTGTCAATAGTTAGCTGAGTTGCAAAATTCATAGTTGCATCATTAGCAGGAGACCAGGTCAACATGTTATTGCAGTATATATGGCTCATTCCAGACATTTTCCATATTGCTAAAGGTCAGCTCATGTTCCTGGAGCAAAGGTGCCCCTCTTTATCACACTGATAATCTTGTGTGCGTGCAGATGTTCCACAGACACAGAGAGATATCCCATTCGTGACCTCTTCATCTCTCTCCTCACTATTATTTGGGGGTGGGGGTTGGGGTGCATATAACCAAATAGTTATCCATGATACTGAATCTCCACACATCACATCTACAGCACCCACTTTTCATTGTATTAAACTCTCTTCCAGGCCTCCAGATGGTTAAAGAAAGCATGTATGACACTATTTCTTAAAGCAGAGGTGGATGTAGCTTAGCTCAGCAGAACAGGAAGGGGATGGGGGGAAGCTTATCTTTCATCTGAGAAAAAGCTTTCCCTGTTACCTATGGCAATTAATTCCTTTATCATGAGCAATTAAGTAAACAGAATTTCTATTTTCTACAACCATAAATGCCAACTGTATTTTGTACAAAGATGGGCACCTTACAGCGATAGTGGTTATAGATCACTGTATTCTTCAGTTGTATTCAGAAGCTGAATCAAACAAATAACCAGTGGGTGATGTTAGTGGAACAGAGAAGAGACTGAGGAGTTGTCTCTCTTATCACAGATACTTCTTGCTATGGAGCTAGCTGGTAATTTATAAGGATTTTATGTTTTAAATAATTCCTAATCCCAGTTTTAATAGAACCCTTCATAGTACAGGGCAAGCAGGATGGAAGCACTGCATTATGAAAAAACTCCAAACAAAGTAGATTCTTTATTGTAATGTTTTGCTTTTTAAAAAATATATTCACTAATATGTCTATCCTCTAAAAGGTTACTGAAACAAAAAGCTGGCAATTTTTTCAAAAAGTAGTTGGGCTACATTTCTAGGATGTTTGAGAAGTAAAAAAATACAGTAGTATTTGGCATATGAGTTTATTATTTATTATTTTTATTATTAAATTTATATGCCACCCATCTCCCCCATAATAGTTTAATGTTTTGAGTTTCCTGAGTAGGCAAAATAAATAAAAAACAAAGTCCCTCATTTTTCTGTGGCATAAACTTTCACAGACAAGAGTGTTTACAGAATTTTGTGCTATAATTATTTAAGATACTATAGTATGCAGTGCTGTTCATTTAATGTGTCTGGCCTTCAGAATAAGTATATATGGTAGAATCCATCTATAGATTGTTCTATAGATGAATGGAATGGGCCTCTCCAAATCTGTTGGTTCTTAGTGTTTCCTGAGCTTGGTTGCTTTCCTGTAGATCTTTCATTACCAAGCGAGGTGAAGATCATCAGTGGGAGGCAAAGTGGGGTTTGATGCTTGTTTATATAATAGCTTGCCCTGCCAGTCTTGGTTGGAGTGTGGTTTCTGCTTTGATGGTTGTTTGACTGGGATGTTGTTTCTTCCCTGATTCTTCATCTGGCCCAAATCTGCACCGATGGATTACAATACCTTCCAGCGTGGATTTTGAAAAAAGTGACGAAGTAGTACGGAGGAGGGAACGGCGTCTGCTTGACAAAAACAGGATTTTTCAGAAAATATTACAAACGGAAGAAGGCAAGAAGGCAGGGTGCAATTATACAGGGGAAGGAGACAATATTAGTCCCATACTAGCCTGGAGTAAGTTTGGGTACCTCGATCTAACATGCTCGATTCCGCTTGTTCAGAATCTAGACTTAACTACACCACTAACCATAATTACTTCCAAGTATATAACTGAACGTACACAACCGCGTCTCCGTTCTCTCCATTTATGTTATGAAGGACTTTACTCATCACCCTCGGAAGCCCCGCTCCGGATGCATTTAACTTGCAGCTCAGTCATTAGCTATTCCTTCGGAAGACGGAGGCCGAGGGGAAGAGGAATCTCTATGGTACTCACCACTTACGCTCTGCGCAGGCCTGCCAAGTACTCTATGGTAGAGTCGGACTTCGTTGCTAATGGCAGGAGATTTGTTTACTTCCGGACTCGAGGCGGCTGGCGGGCCCATCTACCAGCTCGGCGCCGTCCCCCGCCCCCCTCCTGCCCGTCATGGGGGAGGCCGAGGAGCAGGTGCCCGGTGAGTCTCATCCCCAACCTCGGGAAGTTGGCTGGTTGGTGCCGGTGACCCCCTCTCGCTTCTCGCGTCGTCTGCGGACTCCGCCGAGCGAGCCGGAGCAGATGCCCCGTCGCCTGCTCATCTTTCCGCGGCACCCGTTCTTCCTCTGCTTGGCTTCGGCGGGGCAGGAAGGGCGAGTGCGCTTGTGGCTCAGCTCTTCCGTGGGACCCTGTTTCCTCGGAAAGCGCCCCTGAAGGTTTTAGTCACTGAGTGCCGCTGCAAAGGACGGAGGCGGGGTGCATCTCAGCCAAGGCTTTTGTCTTCTTACAACATGGGGGCCGTTCTCAGTCTTCTGAGTATCTCCTTTTTGCAACTTGCGGAATAAGACCGTAAATAGCCTGCCTTCTGCCTCAAACATTGTTAATTTTAATAGGTCGCTGACTTTGCGGTATATACAATTGAACTGATGAAGGAGGTTTTTGATTTCTAGATAGGGTTGTTGTAAGGCAACTTGATTTGCTTCTTACGGAAAACCTGGAGAGGGCTAAAGTTCTAGCATAAGGCTTTTCATGACCGCTGAAGTCGTTTAACCCCCTGCTGACACTGAACTATAGAATACATTACATGCTTTGTTGAAAATTATTTTGAAAAAGGTTGTGACTAGAATAGGCTGCTCTACAGCCCATATCTTCTTTTTTGAAGAATTATTTTGATCTGCTCTGGAAATGTTAGGGAGTTGTTGTGCTTCATAGCTATGAGCACAGCATCCTCTGGTTACGTTTCCCATTGCACCACATTATTAATTCATGATCTAGTAGAGTTTTGTGCGGCTTACAGAAGAGGTGTAAGGTAGTGGTAATGAGGAAATGCAGTTGAATAATCACTCTGGTTCAACACTGTTTGGTTGTCAGCAACTTGAATAATCAGGGCATATTTTCATGTTATTTGTATTTTGAATGTGAAAAGGAGAAATCCTCACCAACCAGCCAGTATTTTAAGTGATGCTATTTGATAGCTATTTAGGTGTAAGTTATAGTTATATATTATGTAATAAATATCTTTATCTGTATAGGCAAAGTCAAGAAATTGAAAAAGAAAGGTATACTGATATTTTGACAGATTAAATGGCAAAATTAGTTGTTAGTAGAATTATGTAAAATTGATTTCAGATTAATATTTAAGCTTTTTCTTTTTAGAATCAGGTGCTATATTCACCTTTGGAAAAAGCAAATTTGCAGAAAATGTGCCTAGCAAGTTTTGGTTTAAAAATGACAAACCTTTACACATATCATGTGGAGATGAACATACATCTGTTGTAACAGGTTAGTATGACAAGATTTTAGGATCATGTTTTTCATTGTTCTGATTTTTTAAGTGAAGGCTTACCATTGTATTGATAGTAATATTATAGGAAGGAGATACTGATATTTTCATAAATTCAGACTTTTATTGTAAAATGGACTAGATAAAATTGGCTTTCCTAATCACCAAGCCCAGTCCTAAGGATAACCTTGACTATTACATAGCAACAGATCAAGCAAAGCTTTAGAAGCTAAAGTGCTCTGGGATTTTAGAATTCAAGCAGCACCTGCCACATAACATCCCAGACTTAACAACTGTTGATAAAAAAGACAAAACAGTCTGGACAGTGGACATTGCAATACCTGGAGACAAAAGAATAGAAGAGAAAGAACTGGAGAAAATCACAAAATACAAAGACCTGCAAATAGAAGTAGAACGACTGTGGCAAAAGAAAGCAAAGGTAGTACGAATAGTAATAGGCGCCTTGGGTGCAATTCCAAAACATCTGGAGCACCACTTGAAGACCATCGGCATTAACAAAATGACCATCAGTCAATTGCAAAATGCAGCTTTATTTGGAACAGCTTACATCCTATGTTGATACCTTTAACACCATCAAACAACAACATCTGCCTATCCCAGGTCCTAGGGAAAGACTCAATAGGTGGATAAAAATGCCAAATCTAATCTAAACATCTGGCCATCTGTGCAACTAACAAGAACAACTTATTAAACTTGTATGCTACTCACCTCACATTTGCCATGCACATGTGTCATGGAGGGTTCTCTTAGAACTGAAAATAATCTTCACTGTCAAGGCAGAATAAAAAATAATATATAATAATCAGTTGTGCACTGATTGTTCATGCTCAGAATTCCCACAATATAACTCTATAAAATTTTTGAAATATGAATTGATTACATATATTCAGAATGATTTATGCCCACTGTCATCCTATAAACTTCATGTTTATTTTTTGTTCTATGACTGTATATTTAATAGTATTTATAGTCAAAGACCAAAAATAGTTAAATATATGCATAGAAATAGAAAAAGATGTACATTTAAGTACAACCTATGATAGTGATATATATCTATAACATTTTGCTGACTTAGTCTTTGTTACATGGTTATTATGTCTAGTTCTATCTGTGTCTAACTAAATTGAAAATGTTTGGTGTATCTTATCATGACTGGCAATCACTTATTTTCTTTAATGTCTGTATTCTGCAGAAAATGGTAAACTGTATATGTTTGGAAGCAACAATTGGGGGCAGCTAGGATTTGGAACAAAGAATACTGTCAACAAACCAACTTGTGTGAAAGGTTTGTCTTTGTCTTATGTGTCAGGCTTTAGAATAGAACTGATCATTCTGTTTCCAAAATGACAAATACTTTTATATAAGTATTTAATACTTAATAAGTCACATTAAGACTTGAAGTCTCCCTATCCAGTATTGTTTTTAGGAATTCTTCTGTGTATTTATGGAGAAATGAGCTGTGCTGTACAGGTAGTCCCTGGGTTAAAAATGCCCGGGTTACAGATGACCCATAGCTAAGAACAGAACCTATTGTAGCAAAATTCAAATTAAATACACAAGGGTTTGAGTTAAATACACAGTGGTTCAAGTTAAACACACAATGGTTCAAGTTCATTACCACAATACTACTTATATTCCAGCTTACATACAAATTTGACTTAAGGACATACCTTGGAACGGAACTCGTTCTTAAACTGGGGACTACCAGTGATTTTCAGGTAAATATATAGAGGAATCCAGCCTTACTGAATTATTTTTATGATTCATAAAAATTATTTCTAACTTCAGTAGAAAATCCAGCTTATTTATGATGTGCTGTCAAATGCTGGGATTGCTAATGAGTAGAACACTGTAAATTACAGACTCTTATAAAGCTGGACACTGAGCAGATTTGACAATTTATTTTATAATTATTAAAACATAATAATAACACCTATTGTGTCTTTAATCCATAGTTCTAAAACCTGAAAAAGTGAAACTAGCTGCCTGTGGGAGAAATCACACTTTGATCTACACAGGTATGTAATTTATTTGTTTATATGCCCGAGGTTTTCCTATGGCAGCTTTCTGCTTGGCTAGAAGGTAACATAAGAAATAACATAGTTTCAAAAAGCATTGTTGTGTGATTATAAAACTATTTTATACTGAGTCTGATAGTTGGTCCATCTGTCTGGTAGCAGTTTCTTGATACAGTATAAATTAAGAAGAGGCATGTTTTGGTAAAGGCATCAAAAGGCTGGAATTTCCTTCTGAGAGAAGTTTGTCTTGCCTGTCTTCTAATGGCCTTGTTAAGACGATAAAAGTTTTCACGTTAAGAGAGTTTTCTGAGCTGGATGTGAAATTTGCCACTTTTTCCCTATAATAATACTGTAATTATTATTGGTTCTAAATAATTATGGTTTATCAGAACTTTAGTTATCTTGAGTTACCTGGAGAAAAAACAGAATATGACTTTTTAAATAGATTAGCTAAAACCTTTCTCAGCCTTATATCACTTGAGGCACTTCAGCCTGAGAAACATGGGCCTGAATGTGGGCTTTACACATGCAATAACTACTTCTAGTTGTGCAGTGACTCACATTTGGAAGGGAAAAGGTGATTTGGACTGTCTGTGGGCATGCTTAATGCAAATGTAACAGGCATGCCTATGCATGCTCCAAATCACCATTTTCCTTCCTGATCCAATTCACTACACATCCCTAATTTCTACAACTGAATAATGGGCAAACCATAAAGATCACTGAATCATTTGTCAAGTACATTTCTCCCAACAGAAAAAAATGTATTTTTAATAGGATTTTGCTAGCAGTAGTCAACTAATCCAAATATAAATAATTTGCTGGAGATTTAGGAACTCAGCTATTTTTTTCAAGTTGTAGGTTTTCATCTTTCTAAACACTGAAAAATGGAAGTAATTTTTAATAGATACATTCCTAGCAATGCTTTTAATAAAGATAAGCTACAGAAATCTGAAAGTTTTAAGCAATGTTGTGAAATGAATAATTCTGAATATTGTAGAATTATTATGTAATTAATAATGTACCATGGTCAATTATATGTTTGGCATTAGACATACAGTGGGGCAAAAAAGTATTTAGTCAGCCACCAATTGTGCAAGTTCTCCCACTTAAAAAGATGAGAGAGCCCTGTAATTTTCATCATAGGTATATCTCAACTTAATCTCCCTTGATCTGGGGCTCCACGCAAGATCTCACCCTGTGGGGTCAAAATGATCACAAGAATGTACATTATTAATTACATAATAATTCTACAATATTCAGAATTATTCATTTCACAACATTGCTTAAAACTTTCAGATTTCTGTAGCTTATTAATCTCCCTTGATCTGGGGCTCCACGCAAGATCTCACCCTGTGGGGTCAAAATGATCACAAGAATGTACATTATTAATTACATAATAATTCTACAATATTCAGAATTATTCATTTCACAACATTGCTTAAAACTTTCAGATTTCTGTAGCTTATTAATCTCCCTTGATCTGGGGCTCCACGCAAGATCTCACCCTGTGGGGTCAAAATGATCACAAGAATGTACATTATTAATTACATAATAATTCTACAATATTCAGAATTATTCATTTCACAACATTGCTTAAAACTTTCAGATTTCTGTAGCTTATTAATCTCCCTTGATCTGGGGCTCCACGCAAGATCTCACCCTGTGGGGTCAAAATGATCACAAGAATGTACATTATTAATTACATAATAATTCTACAATATTCAGAATTATTCATTTCACAACATTGCTTAAAACTTTCAGATTTCTGTAGCTTATTAATCTCCCTTGATCTGGGGCTCCACGCAAGATCTCACCCTGTGGGGTCAAAATGATCACAAGAATGTACATTATTAATTACATAATAATTCTACAATATTCAGAATTATTCATTTCACAACATTGCTTAAAACTTTCAGATTTCTGTAGCTTATTAATCTCCCTTGATCTGGGGCTCCACGCAAGATCTCACCCTGTGGGGTCAAAATGATCACAAGAATTAGTTGAGATATACCTATGATGAAAATTACAGGGCTCTCTCATCTTTTTAAGTGGGAGAACTTGCACAATTGGTGGCTGACTAAATACTTTTTTGCCCCACTGTAAATTCATTTTATGAGATTGAGTGAATCAGATTACACATGAGAAAGGTATATTTTGTGGTCAATTAATTTCATGGCCACCATTAACATTTGTAGTTGAATGTTTGAACAAATTTATGGATAATTAAGTCTGGTTTGAGTATTAATGCTAATTGGCTCTAATTGCTAATTAAGCTGTTACTTCTATGTCATGTTTCCATATATTATAGTAACTTGAATTGAAGTATTTGTATCAGTTTCTATCATGACTGCTGGTACATAGGTGGAAATAGAAATCAACATGTCATTTTACTGCAACTTGTGGTTATGATGCAGAAATCCAAGTAAAATGTCCATAAGGATACGAAATGCATGTTTTAAGATAGTCATCTTCAACTGGAAAGGAAAGGAGAGTGAAGAAGGGAACGTATGTTCTTAAGACCATCTCTTGTAAACCCCATTCTGTAGGATATCGGTACTATGTCAGCATTGACCTTAGTGGTAACCTGTTAAGAGTGCAAGAGATGCTTGAACTGAAGCCAAGAATTGCCATTGTTAACACATAGTCATTGTGTATAACATTTTTTAAACTCTTTTCAAACACAGCAGGCAAGGCAATTATTATTATTATTATTATTATTATTATTTGCCTTGCCTACTGTGTTTGAAAAGAGTTTAAAAAATGTTATACACAATGACTATGTATTAACAATGGCTATTATTATTATTATTATTATTTTGTTGTTCATTTTCTGTAGTAAAAGCCTTATTTATGAGATAAAGCTATATTCATTCACCAAAGATGGTATATAGAATGATCGGCAGAATCTTTGTAGGCAAACTATTCTATAATGAGAAGTAATGGAACATGTTATGAATGTAGGATATAGAATTGCAAGGGGATGAAATTAAAATAAAATTGAAATTTTAAATATTATTTCACTCTTCATTAGTTATGTAACTCCGTAATTTTTTTTTAACTACCCTCCATTGTCATGCAAAGAAAATAAGAGTGTCTTTCAGGATACAGACTTTTTATGATCCTTAAAATGAAATAAGCCAATAAGTGAAACCTAAGCCATGCCTCACCACATCCAACAAGGGGGGGAAAAAAGATGGAAAGCAGAATCTGGTGTGGATAAGAGTTAAAGATAGGGAAGGAATTCTTCCACTTTCTCATGTTTCCATTTATTGGTTGTTAGTACAGTGAGCTGAGCCTGTGGTAGGGCCATATCACCTTTAAAAATCTTGGCCCTAAATTCTCAGACTAATCATAGCTAGAGCTAAGATAATTAATTCTTTGCTGATCCCCTACATACCTCATTTCTGATTCAAGATAGCATATATATTCATTCCCATATCCTAACTTCAGAACCTAGACTTTCAATTGAATTTTTAAAGCACTGCCCAGAAGCTGTTCTACTAGAGATACTTCTGTATCTCTGCAAAATCCACTTTCTCTCCAAACCAAACCTAGGGATGCTGGACGTTTGCCCATCTTATCAGAATATACTAACTATCTTTCACCTTGTAAAAGTAGGGTGGGTTTTTAAAAAAGGGAGGATAAATTCCATATAACTAGATGTATAGCTTGCATATTAAATTGCCTCCCTTCATTGTTCTCTTCTTAAGCCAGTTTGGGATTGACATAGCATAAGAAGTATGGAAAATATATTGCTCTGACTCTATTCCTTTGTTAAGTTCTGAAAGCTGGGGTCTCTCAAAATCGGATTTTAATATTCTATTTTTATTTTTTTATTTTTTTTTTGGTTGCACTTACACATGGAGCAATTATTAATTGAATCCTCATGTTTTAAGCTGTTTTTTATTCCAAACATATTCCTAGTGTCCTCCCCCGCCCCACCGCCTCCCAACTGGGAATGAAGGAAAGGCAATGAATGAAATCACTCCTGTTTTAAAAATCTAAGTTCTAGCCATGAGAAAAGTCTGCTTGTAATTGTTTGATGCATGACCCAGAGAAGTAGTAGGCTCCCCTTTGTTGGATGGGTTCAAGTGGAGGTTAGGCAGCCTTTCTCTGGGACACTTTAATTTGATTTTCTGCACCGAGCTGAGAGCTGGACCTATGGCCTAAATGGTCCATTCCAATTCTATGATTCTTGTTTGCATAGTCAAATTCCATTACATATAAATAATTCTTTTAAAAAAGCTAAGTTGTAGGTTGTGATTTCTATAGGTAGCCACTGAACAGTTAAGAACATTGTGATTAGTCTTGAAGGCAGCATGAGACTGTATGATCCATTCTTTATTTGATTTGGGTTTTTTTCTGGTGCTTCAACTGAAGGGTGCTTATTTTGCTTGTGCTTTTCTCTACACAGAAAAAGGGAACCTATATGCTGCGGGGGGTAACAGTGAAGGACAACTGGGACTAGGAGACACAGAGGAAAGAAGTGCATTTCATCTAGTTAGTTATTTCACTAGTCAACACCAGATCAAACAGCTGGCAGCTGGATCCTACACATCAGCAGCATTAACTGGTGAGCCCAGTGGCTAACGTGAAAGTTATGTTAAAGAGGAAGTTAGTTGAAGGTTCAAGTATTTTCCATTAGGCATTTATGGAAGCCAAAAATCAAAAGTATTTTACCTATCAAAGGGCAAATATTTTTCACAAAATAGGGTGTGAAATGCAGACACTTTTGGCCAAAGCAGCATTTTTACTAGCTTCCTTAAATGGATCAAAAAGTCAGGGCTGTTATTAGATGATAGTTAGGTGCCCTTAACCTGAATTTGATCATTAAAATTTAAACAATAGCCAAATAAACAAGTTCCAAAGGCTATGTAATGGCTTAAAGGTGGTAATTTGGATATAAGCAAACAATTCATTTTTCTCTCAGCTTGAACAGAAGGGAGACCACTGCAGATTATCAGGGGCATTTTGTAATAGAATCTGAAGCATCCTTACAATTTTGTCAGTAATGTCCATAAATACAGAAGAAGTCATTCGATTATGTCTGTGAAGCAGTAGTTTTGGGACAATTTGCTGTATGCACTTCTGCTCTGAGTGTTGACTTGGCTTTTAAAATGCAAAAAAAAAAAATTTTTTTTCTCCAACCTGGAATGAACTCTTTCCAGGCACAGGCACAGTATGAGGATACTCTGTAGTAGGATCTTCACAAGATTTTAAGTAACTTACAAACTGATTACCCCAATGTCTTAGTTATAAGAGAAATGCTTCTAAATATTGTATCCTTTTTTGTAAAGGGATTTAAGCTTTGTCTGATCTAAGAGAGAAATAATTTCATAGAGGGCAGACATACAATTTGCAGTTATCTTTCAAGTGTCACTCACTGGCTATGAGATAATGCACAAAATGGGAACTTTGCTATTGTTTCTGAACCTTCCCTCTCCTTCTTCCTCTGTATTACAAGTTTCTTCTCTAGTCTCCATAGCTTTATACCTCACTTCCTTAGACTTTGCTTCTTTAAATAATTTGGATTTTTTTTTACAATAATAATCTTTCTTATTTTTAAGAGGATGGACAACTTTTTATGTGGGGAGACAACTCTGAAGGCCAAATAGGCTTGGGTAATGAAGCTAATGTATGTGTTCCTCATCAAGTGGATGTTGGAAAGCCTGTTTTCTGGATCTCTTGTGGATATTACCACTCTGCCTTAATAACATGTGAGTATAAAATTAGGTATGTATATGTAGTGTCCAATAGCGTGGCTTGGAATTCTACATTTGCTGTGATCAAGTGGTATATCTATGACTTTTAGAGCAGTCTTAAGTGGGATAAGAGAGCGGAGTGAATAATGTTCTGCTGTTTACAAAGTCCTAATAGTTTGTGCCAGTCAAGGCCAATAGGCAGTCTTTTTTTGCATCTCTTCTACCTAGATCTTTCTCTTTTTTTTAACACCCTCTCTAGTTTCAGGAATAGTGGATTATGAATGCATGTTCTAAGGGAGAATAGACAGGAGGTCTGATTCTGAGCTCTCCCAAGAGATAAAAGATCCTTGGATCTAAGAGACCCAAAGCTATTCCTCTACATTGCCCCCCATGATATTCTGCCTCAGAATTTGGTAATAGCTATTGGAAGAATCACAGCCACAGAGTCTCCAGGTATTTCCATGATGGCATGGCTTCTTGCTATTGATAAATCTCTGTCTGTTGATCTCCCTGATGAAGGAATTCCTCTTTGCCAGCTGATCTCTCCAGGAAACATTTCTGATGGTTAGGATTGCATGGTTCATTTTTTAAAAAGTTGAAGTTAGCTGTAGTCCAGAAGATACAGGTATTATAAAGAAAGTCAGCATAAAATATTCCTCAGATGAATGTCTTTTCTCCTTGTATCGTGAATCTTAATATTCCTGCTTTATTTCCTATAGGTGATGGAGAACTTTATACTTTTGGGGAGTCTGAAAATGGGAAACTAGGTTTGTCACTTGAACAACTGAAAAACAATAAAGTCCCACAGCTTGTTTCTGGAATTTCAGGTAGAGTTAATAAGGTTGCCTGTGGAGGAGGACATACAGTAGCCCTTGCAGGTATATAAGCATCAGTATTTCTTCTGTTGCTTTTTACTATATACTCTGAACTAATTGTGATACTCACATATCTCTTAGTACATTTTAAGCTGAATGTCAAAGAGATTTTTAAATGGGGAGGGCAAACTTGACTCTTCAGATGTTGCTGGACTGCAACTTCCATCATCCCTCATAAATGGTTGTGTTGGTTAGAATAGATGGGAATTAGAGCAACAACATCTGAAGGTCGACAAATTGTCCACCCTCTCCTTGTTTAGCACCTGCTTTAGGTGATACACCCTCTCCTTGTTTAGCAGCTGCAACCTGTTTCTTAAATCAGAAGTGAAATGGTCGCTAATTGAACACATGACTGAGAGAGAGAGACTGCAAAGATCACAGGTTGCTGCCATCTTATTTAGATAAAGCTCTCTTGACAGTGTCCTGTGCCTGACCCAATTTTTCCCCCTTTTTTGCCCCCTCACAGGTTGGAGAGATTGCTT